GCCAGTCCCCGGTGCGGCCTGCGGGCCTCCTCAGTGCCTGGCCCGGCGGGGAGCGGCGCCAGCCCCTCTGTTCTCGTCCTTCCTTCGCCCACCTTGGCCAGCTGTCTCCCCCCAGCAACGGGAGGGGCACTGAGCCTCTGGGGGTGGGCTGAGAGGCCGCCAGGGAGGGCCAGGCAGCCGGTCCTGGAGCGGGCGGCCGCGGCCTGAGATGCCCTGGTGCGGACGCGGTCGTGGGCTCCCTCGTCCCGGCCGGCAGCTGACCGTTTCCTGGCTCCGGCCTGCAGGGTCACTCTTGCCCTGGCCTGTCGCCTGCAGTGTCCGAGGCAGGGCTGGGCTCCGGGGGGCCCAGAGGTGCTCTCTGGTCACCTTCCCGGGGCCCTGGGAAGAGCCCCCCCTGGACTCACTCCCTTCTGCACCCCATTCTACAGGCTCCGCAGCCTGCCTGGCCACCCTCGCGCTCCTGACCCTCACCTTCCCGTGCGCCCCTCGCCAGCCGAGGGGGCAGGGCTGGGCTGCCCAGGCACCTCCATCTTGCTTAGCCTGTGACCCAAGGTCTGAGGCTGAGTCTCAAGGGGTTCTTGGAGTCCCTGCACCCCCAAGCCAAGGAGAAAGCCAGGAGACTCTCACACCCCACCCCAGAGGCGACTCTGGGGTAAAACCTGTGTCAGGTGTGGCTGACAGGGCTGGCGGGGAGGCACTGGGGAGGCAGAGAGCGAGGGCGTGCACAGGGTGCGAAGGCATGGGGCCCACGGGGCACCCCATCTGGTGCCCCTGGCCCTGGGCAGGTTTGGGGTGGCCAGCGCCACCCTTGGGGCTCGTCCGCCATGTCTGGAAGCGGCTGCTTTAGAACCGGCCAACTGCGCAGGGCACACGGACCCACAGGCCCCGGCCGGGCTGGGGCTGGGTGCAGCAGGGCCGGGGGGGTCAGCTGCTGCCCAAGATGGCCACGCCCTGAGCCAGGGCCCAGCAGATGCCCTTTCAGACAGAGCCCTTGGCTGCTTGGGACGGAGCCCTGGGGCAGAGGGCCGCAGGGTCAGGGTCAGGGCCGCTGGCTGAGGCAGGCCTAGAGCTATGGGGTTCTGAGTCAGACCCGCAGCCCAGAGGGTGCTGGCCGGGGCCGGATGCGGCGTGGACGTCCCCTGCCACGCCGGCCCCTGAGCCACCGGCAGCTCAGGCTGCTCTCAGGCGAGGGCGCAGAGCAGGGAGGTGCTAGCTGTTCGGGGGGCGGCCGGACCCCACCACACTAGGGTGGGTGCAGCGCAGAGGGCGTCCAAGTCCCAGCAGGGGCGGAGGGGGAGACCCGGGCAGGACGCACTGCGCCTTGGCCAGGCGGGTGCTGCGAGCAGGGGTCAGGGCGGCCGCAGGCAGGGCTGGACTCTCCTCGGCGCCCGAGCATCCCCAGAGCCGTGTTCTCGGGTGGCCTGAGGCCCGGGGGCCAGCAGGGGCGCAGATGGCGGAGGGGCGGGGCGGGTGCCGCACCCCAGGCACTGCTGGAGGCAGCCTGCAGGGCCCAGGCCTTTGGGGCGAGACTGCCCGCCGGCACCAGCAGGGGGCAGCGTGGCCCCAGGGAAGGCCGGGGCTGGGGGCAGGGGGAGGGCCAGAGTGAGGGGATGGGGCGGGCAGAGACGAGGCCGCCAGGCCCTGCAGGCGCCGCACCTCAGACTCGCCCCTTCCCACCCTCCCCCCTGCTGGACACCTGCTGACTGGCCACGCACCCTGCCCTCCGCTGGGAGCACCTCGTGGCAGCCCTGCCGTCCCACAGCCTGCAGACCCTGCCCACGACGGCCCTGGACATGCCCGGTGTTCAGGCCACTGGGCCTGGGGCCCTGGTGACCGCCCCCACTGGGAGCTGAGGGAGGGGGGCGGGGTGGGCCCTAGGAGCCCCGGCGTCCGGGTGAGGCCCGGGCCTTGCGGCCTCATGGGCTCGGGGAGCCGAGGCGGGAGCCCTTCCCTGGGGGCCGTTTCTCAGGCTGGGGTGCCTGGGGGATGGGCAGAGGCCAGCCGGGGGGGCCGGCCCTCCCGCACAGGGCTCCGGCCGTGAGCCGCCGTTCTCCGGCTCCTGTCCCTCCACGTGGGGGTGTCTGCTGCCCGGGCGGGCGCCCAGTCCAGCTCAGGAGCCGGGGGACAGCCTGGCCCAAGGCCCCCAACCTCTGGGGAAAGGTCGTGGGGACCCACCTGCTCTGTGGCTCTGAGCACCCCGTTTGCTGCGCCAGGACACGGGCCGCCAATCAGCAGACGGGGGGAGAGCACGGGGTTCAGCTGCAACCCGGGGTGCTTTGCCCGAAGAAATCGGGTGTCAGGCGGGCGAGGCCACACGGCCAGTGACGGAGGCCCGAGGGACCCGGGGGGTGAGCGCCCCAAGGCCCCCCTGGAGGCAGCCTGTCCCTAGGGCGCAGGGGCTCGGCAGAGTCGACCACGGCGGCCCACACAGCACGGAGCCCCCCACGCCCCGGAGGCCCACGCGCTGGCCGGCCCACGGTTGGTGGGGAGGCCCCGCCCTCGGACGTCCCCGCCATCACCCAGGGAGAGCTCGCGGGCGGGACGGGTCTCTCCCACAGGCCCTGGCCCAGGCGAGACTGGGCCTCCGCTTCCCGGGGTTCCTGGCCAGCTGCGGTGACGGCCACCACAGAGGGCGGCAGCTGGACGGCACTGGGGCGCCCTCTCGGCTGGGGCCGGCGTGGAGTGAGAGCCGCAGGAGGCCACAGGCCGGGCGCCAAGCGCCAGAGCAGCGAGACCCGCGGCGGGGGCAGCGGCCCTGGCAGGACAGGCAGGCGGCGGGGCTGACAGCCGGCGCGGACGAAGCCCCACCCGGAGAGAGACCCAGGCCCGGCCCACACGAGCCGCGGGGGGGCAGCTTGGCTCAGAATCGGGGGCAGGGCCACGGGGCTGGGCGCCGCGTCCCCAGGCTC